TTCTGGAGGCTGGGAAGCCCAAGTTCAAGGCAGATCCAGTGTCTGCTAAGGGACCCCTTCCTAGCCGATAGATGGCTATCTTCTCAAACCCTCACACGGCAGAGAGCAGGAGCAAGGTCTTTCATGCCTCTTTTTATAAGGTACTAATCTCATTCAGCAGGGTTTTACCCTCATGACCTGATTACCTCCCTCAAACCCCACCTCCAAATAACATCACGCGGGCTTCAATATGTGAATTTGGAGGGGACATAAACATTCATCCCGTATCACCCACACCGAGAGGAAACATACAAAGTCAGTCATATCAATCATGTAGGGTTTTCAGTAAAAGCTGCTGCGTGTTAATCAATAAACTTTTCATAAAAAGTCTCAATCATTGCAGAGATATGTCTCAAGTATACATACACAACCATACATAATCATAGATTAGATAGATAATCCACATGCATACAGGAACACTTGTACATAACCAAAGGAGGCACATTTCAAAGGTGGAGTTCACACATATAATCATACACAAAATCACTTCCCAAAGAAAAGAGTTTTAAGAAATCAGCCAGTGAGTTTCCCCAGCTTTGATCCCTCTCTGTGGTTCTCAGTAAAATGGCAATGAGGAACTGAGCTAGCTTGGAAGCTGAGGTGACATAGCTCTTGTGATGAATGCAAGGGGAGGAATGAGTGGACTTAGGGTCTGCTGTGCTCTAAAAGGTAGGGTCAGGAAAGAAGTAGGCTTCTACTAAGAATTATTTGTTATAGAGGCAATTCTGTACATTTTCATCCCTAATATATTTCTTTCTACTGAAGGATCATCTTTATTAATGGCAACATGTACCCGCACATTCGAAGATACAAGGGTTATTAATTCAGGCTCTGATGCCTTTCCTTACACTGATTCCCTACCTAGACCACATCATCCAAGTCATTCATTCTATTTGAAAGTTACTGAGGGCTTACAGTGTGCTGGGCATGATTCTAAGTGCAAAAGTGGAAGAGTTACCAAGACAGATAGGGTCTCCCTCATGGACTGGGGGATGAGACACAGGAGAGGAAATGAGAGTCAATAGTAGGCAAGAAACAAGGAAACAGACTACATAATTTCGATAAGTACGATAAGTACGAGATAAGTACGATGAGAAAGTTAAAACACTCTTCTCTCCCCATTCTGTTCTTTCTCCAGGTGCCCACCTTATCAGCTCTTAACAACAACGTTTTCCAACAACCTCCCCTGCCCAAACCTGAATAGACAATTTCCTCCTTTTATGGACCCACCGATCCCACCTGTAGTCTGTCATGCTGCTTTATTGCATTTGTTTACCTGTCTTATCTTTCCCAATGAGACTTTAAGCCCCTTTGGAGTAAAGGTCATTTTTTTTTTCTTAATGGTTTTGTAGTTGTAATCCCTGGCACATGTTCTGTTTTGCTCACCACATAACATATTCAATACGTGCCAATTAACTGAACAAATCTGTTGAAGGCATAAAGAAGCCATTAACAGTAGGCGAGCAAAAAACTATTGTAAAACCTGAGGCTTAATGACTATGTTGTTGTGATCACAACCTTCTACAAAAATATTATGATACTCTCATTAGGACCATGTTCTACTGTTTAATCTAGTAGCTCTCACCCAGTGTACCATTTTTAAAGAAAAAAAAAAATTTTTAACGTTTTATTTATGTTTGAGACAGAGAGAGACAGAGCATGAACGGGGGAGGGGCAGAGAGAGAGGGAGACACAGAATCGGAAGCAGGCTCCAGGCTCTGAGCCATCAGCCCAGAGCCCGAGGCGGGGCTCGAACTCAGGGACCGCGAGATCGTGACCTGAGCTGAAGTCGGACGCTTAACCAACTGAGCCACCCAGGCGCCCCTCAGTCTACCATTTTTAAAGAAACTACAATTTAGGATTCTCACTGCTAAAGTGATGTCAGCCAGCAATTGAACTGAACAGGTTAGACTATCTAGTATGAGTTAAGAGGTTAGCCCACGGGCACCAAAGAAAGGCCTTAGGTTTCCCAAAACCCAGAGAGGATGCTCAAAGAGACAGAGCAGTGAACGGTATTACTCAACTAGCATCACAGCTGCTGAAGGACTCTGGCTAAATAATCCGAGGCCTCTTTCCAGTATTGAAAAGCACACTGTGACCTCACAATGGCTTTGGGCCATCCATCCAAGGGCTCTAACCAGCTCAGATCTTTATTCAGTGCCTCCTAGGGAACCACCAGTTCCAAACTAGGCAGAGGGAAAATCTCTTGACATTGCGATAATAAAAAAATTCTAACGTTCATTTTGGATCCATCTGCATGATAATGGGTATAATGCAGATCAGAGTGTAAACCCAACAGAACTGTTTTGAATGTTAACGAGAAAATGTTTTCTATTGTTGCCAAAGCAGTTACAGAAGAATCACACTAAAAGCTCTAATAGATATTACATAGCAGACTTGGATTTTATTAAAAGTTACATCTAAAAAATGTTGCTTATCAGGGGCCAGCCTATTTTTACAGCTCTGATGTTCTCCTCTACATTCCCTGATGATTTTTCTCCTACACAGACGATTCTAGGAACACGGGTTAACTTCTGGATCTCTTCTTCTACCTTCAAAAACAGGACCCAGGGTGCCTAGGTGGCTCAGTCGGTTAAGCTTCCAACTTCAGCTCAGATCATGAACTCGTGGTCTGTGAGTTCGAGCCCTACGTTGGGCTCTGTGCTGACAGCTCAGAGCCTGGAGCCTGCTTCAAATTCTGTGTCTCCCTCTCTCTCTGCCTCTCCCCTGCTCACACTCTGCCTCTCTGTGTCTTTCAAAAATAAATAAATGTTGGGAAAAAAGAGAAAACAGGATCCACCAGGGCACAGGGAAGTCACAAATCGGATGGAGGGGCGCCTGGGCGGCTCAGTCGGTTAAGCATCCAACTTTGGCTCAGGTCATGATATCACAGTTTGTGGGTTTGGGTCCCATGTTGGGCTCTGTGCTGACAGCTCAGAGCCTGGAGCCTGCTTCAGATTCTGTGTCTCCCTCTCTCTCTGCCTCTCCCCCGCTTGCACTCTGTCTCTGTCTCTCAGGAATAAGTAAATGTTAAAAAAAAAACAAAAAACAAAAAACAAGTCTTCAACCCAAGAAGACTAAAAAAAACAAAACAAACAACAACAAAAAAAAACAAAAACAAAAAAACAATCCAATGGAGTGCATAAGAAGCCTGAGGTCTTCTGCAAAGTAACCAGCAAACATTTGCTGTCTTCTGTGGTAGCAGAAGTTTTTTGGTTTTTTTAAACTAAGTTTAGGAAGTGAAGAGCAAAAAATATTTTCCATTTTTATTTTGCTAATGGAAAATCTGGACCAAAAAGATGCTGAATTAGTGAATCTCAGACAGAATAAATATGTTATAAGAGATAAAGCCATAGGCTTTTAAGAATTTGTATATGTGGTCTCTTCATCAGAGGACAGAAAAGAGTTGAAATAGATTAGTAGATTTGTAAATTTGATTAATAAAGGGAAAGTCCTACCCTATCATTATTATTCCAATTATTCCTAAAATAAAAAATAACACCATTTACTGAGCACCTCCATGTGTCAGCCAATATGCCAGGCGTTTTATGTTATTACCTGATTTCATTCTTTCAGCAATACTCTGGTAAGTCTCACTGTCCCACTTTCACAGATAGGGAAACTGAGGCTCAGAAATTTCATGTAATTTGCTCAAAGTCTTATAGTTAGAAAGTTGGAAGAGCCAAGACTGCAAGACAAATGTATCTGACTTTAAAATCTGCACTTTCCAAAGTATCCATTGCTTTGAGTAAAGTGTCATTGCCTTTGAAAGTTTCAAAGATCAAATAATACCCTTCTTTCGTTTTTAGAAAGGCCCTTTAAGGGTAAGACTTGACTGCATTTTAATCCTGAATGATCAGGATTTTTTTTTTTTTTTTAAGCAGTAACTTGTAGCAGGCAGCTTTAAAGATTTCATTTAAATTAATTTAGTTTAATTAATTTGTGTAACTAAGCCTGAGTATTTTTTTTTTTTCCAGAAAGAGACCTACTAATACAAGGGTATTCTCTTGGTCTTTCTAGCCACATCATAATTTTTCAGTCCAGAATTACAGCTCGTGGTAGGATTATACGAGCTCAAACTCACAGTGTGCTCAAAGCAGGAGAGGCAGGGTCTGGGGATCACATAACAGGTACTGCAGTGGATACTTAAAACATGGCACAATATCAACATCAAAATGAAGTTTACCAGAACAGGTGACCTTCAAGAGAAAGAGAGGAAAAAGGGTGGATGGAAAGGGATAGACATTCAGGGACTTAAACAGGATGTTTTATAATAACTGTGCCAAATTATCTTATGACTATCACAAAATAAACTGAAGTTATTTCCTCAAAAGTCATTCAATCTAAGCATGCTAAACATCTCTTACCATATTTGGATGCTATTCGATTCACTCTAAAGGAATGAACACCTATGTGATTTTCAGCAAATCCTATTATACCAACCCAGTGACTAACATTCCTCGTTTTTCACAGACATGATTGCAGTTTCATGCCCCTATTTAAGATAACCACAATCCCAGTTCAGTACAATTACTTAGATAGATCTCATGGTATGACATCCCACACCGATCTATTGAGAGAAACTATCTTTTGTTGGTTTCTAAATCATTTGCTTTCTAGTGCTTCCCACTTTTTAAATTGTCTGGAGGAGGGAGAAGGAAGGGAGAAAGACAGCAGGAAAAAATATTACTCTCCCCAGAAAAAAAATATATTAAGAATAATTCAGAATTGGCTCGTTAACGATTAAAGCACATGAAAAATTTTTCCTATAATTTATGAATGACATTTACTTTCATTTTCTTATTGGTTTTTTTGTTTCCTTATTTTCCTTATTTCCTTCCTTACAGAGAAGGTAATATTCGCTTTCCCCTTTGCCTTAAGTGATTTCCTTGCGAATGGAAGAGTAGGAGAAAGCAGCTGGGAGTGCAGTAGTCTAGGTCAATTGATTTGTTGGTGGTTACCTTGTAGTTTCTGGTTGTATTCGGTCCTGTCAGACTGACTCCTCCTCAAAGTACCAGAGTGGTCCCCAGAAATACTGCTGTCAACCACTGTGTCTGTCTTCCTTCTCTCCAGCATATAGAGCCTGGGCCTCAGGAAGGTCAGGTTCTTTTTCTTGCTGCCCATGTTTTCTTTCCCAGTGGTTTCTTTGGGATCCATCTGAGGCCAAGACAAGCTTTTGAGACTTGTAGGCAATGGCTGTTTGCTAAATTGCCTCAGGGCCGGGGTTGAAGGCAGCAGAGTAAAGAGTTGAACAGCCCCCTTCTTACTAAAAGGCTTCACTAAAAGCTGTGAAGGTTACCTGGCTGTGACTGCCACCTCTCCAGAGTCCCAGAGCCCCACCCCTATGAGGTCATTGGTTTTTATGCCTAGAATCCTACAGGGGAAGCTGCCACCTGTTACCAGAGAGACCTGCAGCACTGAGCTAGGCAAAGCAGGGACTGTGCTGTCACATGCTACCGGAGCAAACAAAAATCCCATTGTGTGTGGCGAGGCTGGGGGTTGGTTGGGGGAAACGGGAGAACAGGGTGGGGTAGGGCAGAAGGGAAGCACACACACGAGAGTAACCTGCAGCTTGTGGGTTTAATGTGTGCCTGTGGGTGTGTACAGGTGCACTGGGAGATTGCGCTGTGGTCTGCTGCCTGGAGGCAGACGTGGGCTTGCGTGTGACTTTTAGCTAGAGTCACCCACATGTGACCCACAGAATTAGTGTGGTGCTATTAGAATTTTTTTAAACCTTTATTGTTTCTTTTTGTTAATGCTTATTTCTGAGAGAGAGACAGAGAGAGAGAGAGAGAGAGAGAGAGTGCAGGGGAGGAGCAGAGAGAGAAGGGGACACAGAATCCCAAGCAGGCTCCAGGCTTCAAGCTGTCAGCACAGAGCCTGATGTGGGGCTCAAACCCATGAACCACAAGATCATGACCTGAGCCGAAGTGGAACTCCTTTAACTGACTGAGCCACCCAGTCTCCCCGGGGCTATTAGAATTTACATGTGCATCACAACAGTGGGGACAGAATCACTTTTAGGGATTACCGTGTGCACTCAAAAGTCATACTTCCGCCTTTACAAATATTCACAAACTGTTTACTAAAAATATATTTGCCAAACCCTGATCGACATTCTTGAGGAAAGGAGCATGCTCATTTGAGAGGCATCGGGCAGCAGGCACAAGACAAGGAGGAAACGTCCATAGAAGCCTGGAGACTTTTGAGGTCTCTCTTCCACACATTGCCCTGCATTAAATTAACCCTTTCATGGTCCCAACCCTGTTCTTGGTTCTGGTGCTTAGGAAAAGAAGCACTGTGTCAGGGTGTAATTTCTGTGAGATCTTTTACCGGTCCTTTCACAGATGGAGTGCGGGAAACTCACCCCGGGAACAGAAGGGAAGGAAAAATGTTTGAAACTGAGAAGAGACATGAAGAATGTGGAAAGGACAGGGGCAGTGATTGGGAGGGAGTAAGGCAAATACTGATGTGCCTTTCATTAATTTTTTTGAAGTTGTTTTTCCTTGGAGTTACTGAGATTTCTCAAGGGGGAAATTCACGGAAGCCCTGGAGATGTACTGAATGTTCTGTATGCCCTCGTTAACGAAAAGAGGAAAGCAAATTCTCTTTTATCGTAAAGGTATTGCCAAAATCCAGCTTTGTGCTACCCATTCTGAATCATGGCTAAGTCTTGTTAGACAAGGTTGATAAATGAGGAAAAAAAGATAAATACCATTTTCCAATCAAGATGTGTGGGCTGAATATAGTTTGCATAATTACCTTAAAAGATAAATGACAAATCTTCACCCACTGTAGAGACATCTATATATAGCTTGGCATATTGAATGGTTTTTGTTTAATATAATTGATAATCTTTTTTATAACAAGCCCTCCCAAGCATATATAATAAATGCTTTAAAAGGCACACTCACAAACATGTAAAATGAGCTTGATTTCTGTTAGCAATGTCTCAATTATATTCTAATCTATCTATATTTTATATATATAATATAATTATATATATTTTATATATAT